CGCACGCCTTTAATCCCAGCACTCGGGAGGCAGAGGCAGGCGTATCTCTGTGAGTTCGAGGCCAGCCTGGCCTACATAAGTTCCAGGACAGCTGGGGCTACAGGGAGACCCTGTCTCAAAAAGACCAAAGAGAAAAAAAAAACTCAGCCTGGTAATGCATAGAATACATACACACACCAACATTTAGGTAAGTTTGACAAACCACAGCTTCTCAAAACAAGGCAACTCAGGAGAGTAAAACTGGACACTTCATTTACCCAGGGAAACCATACACTGGGACTGTTCCAGGCAACCCTGAAGGAATAGTCATGCCGTGAGCACTAGATGCAGCTATGTAAGTCATCTGCTTTAAACAGGGGAAAGAGCTTGACACTTTCTAAGCAAGGACGAAGTACAGTCATCATTGCTTGTTTAAACATGTCACCATCAATGTTTTCCTTCAGTGATCAAAGAAATACTCAGGGCTTGCCTGACTTCCCTGAATCTTGGTTCCTTCCTCAAGTCTCTCCATCTCCCACAGTAAGAGAGATCTGCTATTCCTCCAGCAGGCATGTTCTTTAAAGAGACTGATAGGAATGTCAATGTTCAAGAGCTTAGAGTATTTCAGCACACCCTAAGCTTTCATTTGTCTTGTAACACTGTCCTATAGGTTGAGAAGGCATTAATATTCACATTTCTACAAACAAGGAAGCTAAAACTAGATAGGTATGGCCCAAAGTCACACAACCACCCCCAGCTATTCAGGAGAGGCCAGATTCTCAGTCTAGTGAACCCCACCACAAGACAAGGGGTTCAGTGTGTAAAGAAAGCCTTTTGTCTTTGCCCTGCCTCTCCTCAATGACACCACTTCTCAGTCTTCATCTTGGTGATGGGCTCCCATTTCAGTAAAACCTAATTTAAAAAATTCCTAAGTCCTCACTAAAAAGGAGATAATTATCTACATTACAAAGAATTCCACTTCAGAGGAAAAAAAATCACTACAGATTTTCATTGCAAGTGTGTGTTCTTTACCTTTTTCAATAAAAGTACAACTGGGACTAGAGATCTATCTCAGTGTCCTAGTTTGTTCTCCATTGCTGTGACAAAACACTCCTGGGTCACAGTTCATCAGGGAGCCCAGGTAGGAACTCAGGGCAGGAACCTGGAAGCAGGAGCTGGAGCACAGGCCATGGAGGAATGCTGCTTACTGGCTTGCCCCCCTAGCCCCTGCTTAGCCTGCTTTCTTATGCAACACAGGCCCACCTGCCCAAGGGTGGCACCACCCACAGTGGGCTGGGCCCTCTCACATCACTCAACAATCAAGAAGGTGCCCCATGGACATAGACAGGCCAGCCCAATGAAGGAAATTCCCCAATTGAGGCTCCCTCTACTCAGGTGTGTCAAATTGACACTAAAGCTATCCAGCACGCTCAGTAATTTGAGTGCTTTTCCTACCACGTGTGAAGCCAGAAAAATGTTACTTACAATTTCCAAAGACTATGGTTTTTGTTTTTTGGGGTTTGGTTTTTTTTTTGGTCTTTTTGAAGCAGGGTCTCCCTGTAAGCGCCAGCTGTCCTGGAACTCACTATGTAGACCAGGCTGGCCCTGAACTCACAGAGATCCGCCTGCCTCTGCCTCCCAAGTGCTGGGACTACAGGTGTGCGCCACCACGCCCAGTGCTGGACTATGTTCATTTAATAGCTATTTATACAAGCAATTATTTCCATATTATCTCTTCCTATAACAGCACTGCAAAATGGCTTTAAAAACTTTTTAAAAAATTAATTACCTTCATTTATCTTGGGGGGGAGGTGTCTACAGGGGTAAGAGGACAACTTGTGGGAGTCAGTTCTCTCTTTCCACCACATGGGTCCCAGGAACTGAACTCAAGTTGTGAGGCTTGGCAGCAAGGCCTTTACCCTCTGAGCTATCTTGCTAGCCCAAAATTGGCAACTTTAAGATGAGAAATCTAAACTCAGAAAGATTTAGTGACCTATAAAAAGTCTAGAGATTCAGATGGAACTGGAAAAAACTGGAGTTTTATTGCCACTCAAAGGCCATAATGCATGCCATTTATTAAATGCCTAGTCGGGGGGGAGGGTGTTACTCAGTTGTAAAGCATGTGCTTAGCATCCATGAGGCCCTGGGTTCCCCGGCACTGCATGTATGAAAACAGTCATATGTGACCATTCCTTGGGAAAAAGAGATGATTTCACTTATTCCTACCTAGCTTTAGAACTCTGGATATAGCAGCAGGCCTGTTTTCAATCAACATTTTATGAAATGAACTAGGGGCCAGGGAGATAGCCCAGCCAGTGAAATGTCAGCCACTGAAGCACGAGGACCTGAGCTTGATCCCCAGCCACTTATGTAAAAAGCCAAGCATGATGGTACACGCTTGTAATCCCAGAAGGGAGACAGCGACACAGGTGGATCCTTGGGGCTCTCTGGTCAGTCAGCCTAGCCTAACTGGTAAGAAACCTTGTCTTGAAAAATAAGGTGGACAGCTCCTGGGGAATAACATCTGAGATAGAGCTCTGGCGCGCGCACACACACACACACACACACACACACACACACCTGCACACCATGATGTGCACACACACACAGAGACACAAAAAACAAGAACTACAAAACAAATGCAAGTAGGACAAATACCAAAGGGGGCCAGGCATGGTAGCACACAGACGGATCTCTGAGACAGTGAGGCTAGTTGGGTCTGTATAGCAAGTTCCAGGACAGGATGGGGCTTCAGGGAAACCCTGTCTCAAAAAAACCAAGACACACACACACACACACACACACACACACACACACACACACACGTATCAAAAAGTTTTACTTTAAAAAACAAGTCGTGTCAAAGAACAAAATCTAGAAGGCAGCTAACAAAGCTAAACTCCAGAGCTGAGTCCTTAATGAAGAAGCTTTAAAATGACCCCTTAAAAAGTTTAATGCTCAGTCAATGGGTATTACTGGGTGAGGGAGCGTAAACCTCATACTTTGGAAGAGCACGCAGGACAAATTAAAGTCTTAAAATATTCATATTCTTGTTCACTATCACTTTTGGAACTATGATATAAAGAAATAAAGAATAAAAGAGCTAATTTTACTAAACTTGCTATAGAAGTTTTCACTGACTATTTCAACAAGCATTTGCTTAAACACTTGTTTCAACAAAACAAGATACTTAATCATCAAGACAAAAAAAGTCCTGATCTTGCCACACCTTTAGTTCCAGCACTTGGGAGGCAGAGGCAGACTGATCTCTGAGGCCAGCCTGGTCTACATAGGGAGTTCCAGGTTAGCCATGGCTACAGGAAGACCCAGTCTCAAAAAACAAACACCTTGTAGCATTTACAGAATGATAGGAGAGATGAGCAGTATACAACTATATAGTAGGTCCAATGGACAGAACAGAAAGGAAAAAAATAAACCAACTACGAGAAAGAACAGTAATAAGAAAAAAAGTGAGGGATGTGGTAGAATGTATAGTATGCTATTTTATACATGGTAATCAGAAAAGCCCTCAATGAGCTAATATGTGAACAGAAACCTAAAAAAATGTGTGGGAGCCAGCCATGGAGGATACCTAGAAGAAGTAGTTTCAGATAAAAGAAGAACAAGTTACTGGGCCTAAGATGCATTTGAGATTTTCAAGTGAGAATATGGAGGAGCTGGTCAGAATTATGAGCCTAGAGTTTGGGGTAGGGCTAGACTTGAGCTATACATTTAAATACCATTTGGCATTTGAAGTTAGGAGAACAGATGAAAGAACTAAAGACTGAGCCCAGGGGTCACATAAATGAAGAGTCTGAGATAAGAAGGGATAGCAACAGACACTATGAAGGATGAGGCTGCCCTGACGTGATGTGAAAAAGTTTAAGGAAAGAAGTGATCAACTATGTCAAATTCTGTTGAAGGTCAATTAAGAGGGTTGCCACTTGATTCTGAAGAATTAAGAAAGTAGACATGGAACAAAATTCTTCAGAACAACAAATTCTTTGGCACTATTACCCAACCCCTGAATTTGGGCTTGAACATGTGAATTGCTTGGGCCAATGAGACTTAAGCAAACAGACACAAGCTCAGGCTTGTAAGCTACCTGTCCACTCAGGCTTCTCTTTTTCTTTGGTACTAGGAACTTTCACTGTCATGTGAAAGAACATGCAGAAGATGAAACAGATGGCCACTGCCCAGCTGATATCAAGTCACCTGACATTAATGAGGTGGTTCTAGCCAGGTCAGCCAAACCGGAACAAATCCAGAAAACTATGAACAAATAAAATGGTTTTTGTTCTAAGTCACTAAATTTTAGGAAGGTTTATTATGAAAGAAAAGCTAAGGGACAAAGATGGGACACTGCTAACAGATAAGCACTGTTTCAATGGAGTAGTAGGCATGGGAATCTCACTGGGGTTGGATTAAAAATGAATGGACCAGGGCTGGAGATGTAGCTCAGTGGTAGAACGTTTCCTAGCATGGAAGACCTGGGTTCAATCTCCAGTATAGGAGGTGAGGCAACCCCCAAAATATGAATGGAAAGAATGGAACACAAAGCCTTAGCTGAGCTTCTGGGGCATCTCTGTTACAGTGTTTGCTAGATGCTCTCTCCCTCCTTCCAGAGCCCCTATAACAGGTATGGTGACACAGTGGCAGAGTCCTTCTACTGAGGCACTGTCCAGTTATGCCCAACCCAAGCACGCCTCTGCACACTGTGAACAGAGGATGGATGGGGAGACTGCACCATCTGCTCCTTCACTGACATTGTTTTACCAATAAATTTAACTTTATATTCACACCACCTTTAGCAAGGAGGTGTGAATGAGTGATGCGCACAGGTGCAAAAGCCACTCTCCTTACAGGACACACACCATCCCATAACCTCTCTATTGTGCTCAGCACTTCCAATCTTCTACAGGAATTCTCTAGGAACTGTAATCACATTCAAAAGCAAGTATAAACATTTTTTAAAACAGCTTTTAAAATGTTAATAATGTATACTTATATAAATGACTTACTTGGCAATCCTCAGTTTCCCAACTTCACCTCTTCCAGGGGCTTTAGCCCATTGCTGTGACAAATATTTAGGAACCTAAAATGAATCAAAACATTTTACAGATGATTAATATGGGGTACCAGGGATTATATTCCTTACCTGAGGATACACAATTAGTAAATGACAGAGCCCGATTCAAACCAAGGCTATCTCCAGGGTCTGTGTGCTGGGATGGTCTTAACCAAAAGATTATATTGTGTGTATATAACTGAATACAGAAGTCAGAAGTGGTTTAATTCTGAAAAAGAATAATATATTGATTCTCTAATAAGTACTTTGTCTCTTTCCTTCTAGGAAGTAGTTTAGTTTAGACCCTGAAATCAGGATACACTTTTAAGGTTATCCTGTTATGAGAGACTCTAGGTAAGAATGGAGCATAATGTCTTATGCAGAGCAAGGACGCAATGAGTGCTGGTTGTCACTGTTTCTCACAGTTTGGGAATGATAACGTAAACATTTACTAAGCCAAGGATGGAAAGGGGAAAAAAATCTAGCAAGATTTCACTGGGGGAGGAGTACTTTGAATACAGTAAAAATTCAAAAGCAAAGGAGTAAAAAGAACTTGGTATTTGTTCAATTAATGTGTATATTCTTCACACAAGAATTTACTGAACTATGTATGATGTGTCAGATAATATGCCAGAGGTTGGAAAAGAGGAAGTAAAAGGAGCCAACACTGCCAGATTACATGCTAGATATTCTACATGTATCACCCCACTTAATCCTTCCAATCACCCTGCAAACACACTGCCACTCTCCTTGCTCTACAGATGTGAAAATGGAATCTGAGGGCTAGTGATAGAACTCAGCAATAAAGCTAGGCACTGACTATATACTGTGTATCTCGAAAAACTCTAAAATGTTTAATAAATGTGGGTCTGGAGAGATAGCTCAGCAGTTAAGAGCACTGACTGCTTTTGCAGAGGACCCAGGTTCAAGTGCCAGTACCCATATGGTGCCTAACAACCATCCAGTTCCAGGGCAATCTGGTACCCTCTTCTGACCTCTGAGGGCATTGCACAACATGGGTGCACTTACATACATGAAGGGAATACACTCATATACATAAAATAAAAATAATTAAAAAAAGTTTGATAAAGGTTTAAGTAGGTACGTTTAGCCTGCTCCTACAATGTATGTATGTATTGAAGTATCATATAGTGCTTACACTAACATGTACAATGTTACATAAATTAAAAAGTCAATAAGATAAAAAAGAAATTTAGGTGAGCAAAAGGTCACAGCAGTTAATATTTACAACTAAATACAAGATCTGTACAAATACTGCTACATCAGCAAATAAAATCTTTGAATTCTTAGACTGTAGAATATTACCTTATGTTCTCAGTCGTGTGTGTGTGTGTGCGTGTGTGCGTGTGTGTGTGTGTGTGTGTTGTGAATCTACCAAGTGCTAAAAGCAGTGACTATCAATGGAAGCACTAGCTTATCCTGTTTTATTTGCAAACAGGTGGGATTAGAATGATAACATCTGTTTATGGTGTAACAGAAAATTCTCTGATTAAGGCAAGAGAGAAAGTCCTTTGTTCAAGAGAACAGTTCTAAGAGAAATGAGAAGGAACAAGTTCTTAGAACAGATTGGGCTCACTCTTTGTTCTAACTGACACCAAGTGGTCAGGCACCACTGTAATGCAACATCTCTCAGTCACAATCTCAGCCACAATTTAGCCCTTCTCTTTACTTACTAGACCTAAAACACTTTTTCCTTCCTCCTCTTCACCTTCCTCCTGCCTTTATGCTTAGGACTGAACTTCCTTTACCACTGAGAAAAAATGAAAGAGAATGTCTAAATTTACCACTTAGTTTCCCCTCTGAAAATAATGAATTATTGTCAATCTCTCCACTTGTGCACACTCAAATTTCCTTGCCTATGTCTAATCAAGGACACCTTTGCTACAAGTCCACCCTTTCCTCTACCCCCTTTCTCTTACTTAATCATTCCCATCAGCTAAGAGAGCACATACAGAAACAGACTCTAAAATGGCCCCCAGTGATTCCCATCTGTTGACAATTCCTTGTAACTGTCTTTCCAGTGCTACCATGCCTGGTTAATGCAGTCCTGGAGACTGAATGCAGAACTTTGTGCATGCTAGGCTAGCACTCTACCAACCGAGTTATACCCTCAACTCCCACCAATGTTTTGAAAAGTACTTTACGGCTTTTTGTTCTTTAACTATAAAAACTTCATGAAATCATTTCCATATTGGAAGATGGTATTTAGAGCAACCTAATTCCAGTGTTCCAGGCTCATGGTCACTCATAACTGGTTCATGAATAAATTATTTTTTATTCCCTCTGTCAGTGCTTGATAAAAGAACTCAATTATTTTGTACAGTTAACATATTATTAGGGCTGGATGTAGCTCAGTTGTTCAAGTGCTTGCCTAGCACATACAAAGCCCTGGGTTCAATCCCCTATACTATATAAATATAGTATGGTAGCATATGCCAGTAACTCAATACTCAGGAGATAGAGGCAGGAGGATCAGAAGTTCAAGGTCATCTTCAGCTACACAAATCGAGACCAGGCTAGAATACATGAGACCCTGTCTTTTAAAAAATGTAACATCTCCCCACCAGAAAAGTACACACACATACTAAGGGCAAGGTTACAGTCCTTCCCACCTACTCTCTCATTTCTCTACCCCTATAGCAGACAGAACTCCTTGAGAAAGAGAAAATGTCCACCTCAGTTGTCTATACCTACGCCTCCAGAAAGGCTTTCCTCCATGCCACACCACTGAATATTGCCTGCATGTAAGTGAGTACACCCGTGTCGTGTAATGCCACAGAGATTAGAGGAGGGCTTCGGATTCCCCTGGAACTGGAATTAAGAATGGTTCGTAGCTGCCATGTGGATGCTGGGAATTGAACCCAGGTCCTCTGCAAGAGCAGTCAGTGCTCTTAACCACTCAGCCATCTCTCCAGC